ATTATTCATCATTTTTGGTGGTTACGGTAGAGTTTTTTTTCCCATATATTTCTTGAAGGTAGCAAAGGATCAGAGTTGGCAAATTCATTCTGCCTTGGTTTGAGAAAATAATTGTGTGCCTTTTATATTTATTTATATATTTGTTATATTTCAAAAATTCTGGGTGGGTAAGATTTTTAGTGTTTCGAAGGAAGTCTCTTATGCTTACCAAGGTTGCATTTATTTGATAAAAAATAGAGTAAAAACTGTAAAATTATGAGATATTATTACAATTTAAAATAACTGTTCTATTTTAATATATTTTAAATGTAATTTATGCATGTAATGGCAAAGTCTTTAGTGTCACATCCTTCAAAAATCATCATACTATGCTGATTTGGTGCTCAAGAAACATGTCTTATTACTATCAATATTGAAAACGTTTTTTTTTTCCAGGATTCTTTGAATTAAAAAAACAGCATTTCTTTGAAATATAATTTTACTGTACTGTACTTTTCATTAATTGAATGCATCCAAGCTTATTTCTAGAGTGAAAGTATAAAACAGTATAAAGTATACAAGTATGTAATTATTAAAAAGTATAAAACATTTTATAAGTTCTGTTATTTCTCAGAGTTTGTTTTTAACCCATAACAGCATCATATGTCACTATAAGAAAAATCCATAGAAAAGATTATGGGCATTTCTTTTAATCCTAAAACACAACACAATTTAATGCGTAATTCAAAATAAAAGAAAAACACTTGTAAAAAATCTATAAGGACAGTTCCTTCATATTAACAGAACGTTGTGTCAGACAGTTGCATTGTCTTCAAAAGAATGATTTGTAAACCTGCCTGCCTGAACCATATTTAGTGTCACCCTCAAGGTTTTTTGCTTTTTATCTTCTCCGTATGTAAATATATAACCTATCCCTCTGTTGAAGCTCTGTACCTGAGGCCACACTTAGTAAGCCACTAGTGACATTAACTGCTAATTCACTCCCGCACACAGAGCTCATTGTAGACCACTGCTATTCCAGCCATGCAGGGTTCACGAAGGGTTAAGCATATTCGTCTCCTTGTAGAAACAAAGCAAATAGTGGCACCAGGTCTTGAGGGTGAAATCACAGAGATATGCCTTCCCTCTGTTCACAAGACATGTGATGCTAATGCAGGAAGACCTCAATGAACTCCATTGTGCGCTTTTGAGATAGTGAACACACCGTCTGCACCAGATAGAGCTGCTTGTGTGTGCTGTAACTTCTTTGGTATCTCATCAGGAAAAATTGCCACATCAGATGTCCAGATGATCACTTGATAACGCATGAATTAGTTGCCAGAGATTAATGTCAAGAGCGAATCTTTCAGAGTTGTTTTCCGAATAGCTCATGATAAGGACTGTTTTATTAGTTAAACGCCTGCTGTAACACTTAAACACACGTATAAAATCAACACTAGATGACCTTTCAAAAAAGATTTACCAGAGCTGTTTTGTTATGAGATTTAAGACAAAGTTCAGTCAAGTGTTTAGTATGAAATTAAGTTTCTTTTGTAAATTCCATCTTTTGAAACCAATTCCGTTCTGGAGGACACCCACATTAGAGATTTGATTTGATAAAGGCATGTACGTGGTCCTGTTAAATCCTCACATCTGTCCTCACAGTATTTTCAGCTCATGTTTTCTCTCTCTGGGCTCGGCCATAGGGTGTTTTTCTGAGGTCAGGGCCCGGGAGGCTGCCGTAAGCTTCTCTGATAAGATCCACTGCCTTGGCCATCCGCTCTTTCAGGATCAATGCCAGTCACCGCTTCTACTCACTTTCTGATAAAGCAGTCACACACACATAGAGACATCAGATGGCCACCCATTGCTGTTTCATTCCCAGAACAAAGTGCACCGCTGTCCATTCCCCCTCTTTCTCTTTCAGCGGTTGACAGCTACATTAGTCTGCCTCCGAAAAGTAAAAGGAATTGCATTTTTTCCCTTTTTTTTCGGATGAGACATGGGGGTTTGGGTTTGGGGGTGTCATGGAAGGCATTTATCTTGGTGAGATAGTGATTTAATTTTAGGTGATATATAACCAGCCTGTCGCCGTGGTGATACTCCGAGGGGGGTGATCAAACCTATTTTTCCACAAACTCATAGAGACATATATATATTTATATACACACATCGACCTCACGTCCCATGACGCGAGCGCATATCTCTGTATTCCAGAGTGGAAATGTCCAGAATGTAAGTCATTTATCATCACTGACATGGCTGGTGTTTACATGTCCCTGAGAGAGACAGGGACAACAGCCCACAACTGAGCATTAATAAACACTGATACACTGACACATATTCTGACTGCTCATATTTTTGGGAGTAGTAACCAAGGCCTTTATTGTTTTTTTTGTTTGCATCCTCATTTACTCCTATGCCCATTTTGCATCAATGTTGTTATTGGTAACTGAAACTATTTTTTTTGGTAAATAAAATAAAACACGTTTTGATTCATTCTGTCAAATACTAGTACTAAAAATATTAAAACTAAAACCGAAACAAAAATGTAAGTTATATAGAAATATTTAAATAAAATAAAAATGAAAATATAAAAAAAGTACTTCAAAGTATTAATAAATACTATAATAGTATATAAATAACACTAAAATAAAACTGTTTTGCATGTCAAAAATGGCTGAAGCTGAGTTTATTGCCCTTTGCTAAGCTCCACCTCCTTTGGTTACTGTGCTATAACAGAAACCGCAATCAAATGATGATTTACTTTTAACTTGTTAAATTGCACATAATTGCTAATAATACAGCTTGTATTGTTTCTTGGAACCTTTTTACGCATTTCAACACACACACACACACACATATATGTATGAAACTTTAAAATTGTGTGCAGAACCAGAAAAAAATACAGGTCCTCCATATACTTATATTTGAAAAGAGTAAATGCTAATGTGAAAATTGCAGACAGCATAAATGATGGTATGCAATTCTAACATTTGTTTTGCAGGTGTACAGTTATCGAGAAAGACGATAATTTAGACCCTTTTCTGAAATTGTCGCTAAACTGTTTTTAATAGTGTTTATTTGCATTTAATTTGCTTAAAGGGGTCATATGATGCTTTTTTAAAGATCATTATTTTGTGTATTTGGTGTAACAGAATATGTTGACATGCTTTAATGTTCAATAAACACATTATTTTTCAAATACTGTACATTATTGTAGGTTCTCTATGCCCCGCCTCTCTCAAATGCTTCGTTTTCTACAAAGTCCCTCCTTCCGATAAGCACAGTCTGCTCTGATTGGCCAACTGACCCAGTGCATTGTGATTGGCCGAACACCGCAAGCACTCGTCGGAAATGTAACGCCCCTTACCATAATCGCGAGCTTCAGCTTTCAAAATAAATGTAAAGACAGAGCCCGAAAGGGGAACAGAGTCGCGTGACAGACAGTGATGAAGCTGGTATGTGTGCAGTACACAAGCCACGGTTAATTTTGAGACTTTAGTTTTTGCAACTTCAGGGATCTTATCTATGCACAATCAGCTTGTAACACTCCAAAGAGAAAGGAAAACTTGAAATCGCATCATATGACCCCTTTAAACGTGAATGTTTATCATTAACACAGCATCTCTCTGGGTGTTAACATAATGGCCTGTTTCCTGCTATCTGAGGCACTGGAAGCCTGCTTAGCATTCAGCGTCTGTAAATGAACCTATAAGCCTCCGCTCTGGAGACCTACTTATGCTTGGCGTAGGATCATACACACACTGATGTGCCCCTTTAACAAGGGCAAACATGGTGTACACCACCAGGATCATATGCACCAACTAATCAACAGGCACATTTGACACGGTCATTTTACCCCAGCGGTCACGTTTGGATTCATTCCGTCAAATCTGCGCTTAGACATTCTGTCAAATGAAGCAAGGGTCGCTAAATTGTTGAACTCTCGGTGACCTGTGAGTGATGTATTTAGGTCAAAGAATTGAAAGGGATATGACAGAGCTTGTTAACCGAGACTCAACAAGGCACTGGAACATTTTTCTGTTTATTTCACTCTGTCACTATATTTCAGATATCGGTTTATGCGGTAGATTTATGGCAGCAGTACTATAACTTATGGCTATTAGTGTGTTTGTAAGACTAAAATTCTCTTTCAAAACCCGGTTGCTGCATTGTTGCCTATCTACATTAGGAGCAACAGTGTACTTAACAGCTTTAATGAGGAAAATAACTACAATCCCATGAAAAAAAATGTCTTAATCAAATGAAAAATTATACATAAATACAAAATTGTTGATTTAAAGATGTTAATTGCATATATAGAAACAACATTCACTTCTAATGCTTTAAGTTTTGTAATTGTTGGAAGTTAATGACCATACACATGAAGAAAACTATGCTAATGTTTACATATGTGAGTTTCTTAGGTTAATCAGTAGATTAATACTTGTCTGACTCGATCATGCTTGTAATAAGAGGGCAGATGTGGTGTGCTCAGGTGACTAATACTTTGTTTTCTCAGTTTGGGTTCTACAGTCATTTGTAAGACAAACTAAGTGCACTTTTAGACGTTAAAGATTACAGGAGATCTTCCTCTCGCTACCTGTCACCCATCACAACAGGTGCTGTGCCCTCCCATCGGTTCTCACAGACTGGCCTGCCCGCCCATCATGGCAACAGAGCTCTCTAATTGGTTCTCAGTGGATTAGCCGGGGTTAATTAACTGCTGTCTTTGATGGTGGAAGGCTCTGATGAAGGTCTGTCATGCTGAATAATGGGGCTGCCCGGAAGAGAGGCTGAGAGTGTGGCCAGGGTTTAGCCTCCTCTTTTCTCTCCTTCATTCCTGTGTTTCAGCATCTCAGCTATAAAGGATTAATGATACCATTACCATGATTTATTTCTTTGTGGATTTGTGTAGAATCATCAATCTGTTAGGACATTTTTATGTTTTTTCCCCTTTCATCTAGGCTGATGGTAAATCTTGTGTTTTTGTCTCTTTTTTTTCTTTTTATCTACAGGCAAGCCCGTGATGATTATTACAGAGTACATGGAGAATGGATCGTTGGATACTTTCCTGAAGGTGAGGAAGGCAAAACGCCTGTGGCACAATTCCACACCGATGTTCACATGCCATTTAAGATGCTGCCTTACATTTAATTACCTACAGCCAATAAACGAGCATCGCTCAAGGGTATAAGCCACGGATACCTCCCTGAAAGTCTATTACTGGAGGGAAATTAAGCATGGAATGGATGCCTGGTGCAGGCAGTGCGATTCAGTTGCTCACTGTCCTCAAATCCTCTCTGTTGTACAGCAAACGTGCCAAGGTTATAATAATCTGAGTTTTGGAATTTGCAATACTTTCTGAAAACTCAGTTTTGTTTTAGTTAGTTTCAATACAGTTTTTGTTTCATGAAATATTCTTTTTTCGTTTTTATATACTTATTTTTAGTTAAATATTTTCTCCCAACTCAACAGAATATTTCCAAAAATATATATTTTTGGTGTTATATTTTACTTTATTTTTCGATGAAAGTTTTGTTTACATTTTATTTAATTTTTATGATTTTAATTTTTTTTATGATTATATTATTTTATTTCTGCTTACAAAAAGTCGTTTTTGCCTTTGTTTTAGTATTCAATAATAACACTGGAGCATGTATTCAAGTGAACGTGTTACGAATGTGTCTCGTATAGAGACAGGAAGTGAGTAAATGAACTCTGTAGATTTATAATAAAGGTGCACTCTCTACACCAAGCTGCCATAACGTCTCCTCCGCAATCCTCGCTAATTTATTGCCGCCTTTGTCACCCAGCAGATCAGGCCACGAAGTTTATTACACGCAGCACAGATACGTTTTCCTTTAAGTCAAGACTCTTTTTAATTGCCTACACTTTGAGAAAATGAAAATGAAATCTAACACCCCCACCCCTAAAAAAGGGCCTGTCTGAGACTTTCGATCTTTCTGCAGCGTACATAATGAATCCCATAAATAGCCCCTTAGCCCACATAAAAAGCTAATATAATTATGGGGTCAGTTTTATGGCTAATAGCTCATAGTTCGGCCACCCAGCTACATGTGTTTAATTAGAGGACAGATCAGTTAAGCATCACTTACTAGTACAAAAACAAATGATTTTTCTCTGTCTCTATTTCTGCCTCTCTCTGCTCTTCCTGTAAGTTGCGTGGCTTCTGACACTAGATTGATAACAACCAGTTGATCAGACCAGACGATCAATCAGCAGCCACATTTCACAAAACACAGTGTAATTAACTTACCCACATTATGATGCATGAAATACTATACGAGCGCATGTTTCAGATTGATATTGCTCGGAGGGACAAAAGTGGGGGTTTTAACAAGATTAGTGTACAGCCCAGATATGGAGATTAAGACATTGGGCTAATTGCTCATTGCGAAGATTGTTTTTGAGGCAAAATGGATGTCCGGGCTCTTTTGTTTAGCTAACAGAAGCACCAAATCCAGATGATTTCACATTAATTAAGGCCTGTAAACATTTGAGCAATTATGGCAGAAAGAGCAGTAAAACCAGAGGTCAGACTCTTTTACATAATGAATCAGAACTCAGGGCAAAACCATTGGAACTGAAAATGGAGTGTTTGAAAATTGCATGAAGGCTGAATAATGTAATGTAAAAATGTTAACACAAACAAGTCTTAAAATATTACAGAGAAATGTAACATACCAACTAAAATATATAATACTGAAGATATATAAATATGATAATTTAATATGAATTATTTTCTGAGTAATGTAAAATTTTAACAGTAAATCTTCAGATATTGCTAAGCTAATGTAATCTATCAAAACATTATTTAAATATATATATATATATATATATATATATATATATATATATATACATATATATATATATGCAGTATATAATAATTTATAATATAACAATTTAACATTTAAAAACTACATTTAAATAACATAAATATGTTCTATGTTGTTAGTTCATGATATCTGATATTAACAAATTACACCTTAGTTTTTAACCTTTGTTTTTAGCGTACACCACCTGTACAATCTATATAAAATCACAGATGCTTTCTCTTTCTCCTGCAGAAACATGATGGGCAGTTCACGGTCATTCAGCTGGTGGGGATGATGCGTGGAATCGCTTCAGGAATGAAGTGTCTCTATTCTGCTGTTTGTTTATGAGTGTTTCTTTAACTTTCAGAAAATAAACTCTATTGATACACACTTTTCACACTCTCATCAATTTTATTAGTCTACTAACAATGTCCCACAGTGGAGAATTATTTTCAGTGGAGAATTAGTTTTGTTTTGTTTTTAATCATGGAAATTACAATGTAATTTCCTCCACATTTCAGAATATATATTTGTGTTTAATAACATGTTGTGGTGAAAATGACAATGATGGAAATTACATTTTAGGAATATTTTTTGTGTCTTAAATCCAGACAATTAAACCAAAGACAACCATTCAAAAGTTTGGGGTTGACCTTTTTTTTTTAAATGTTTTCAACATGAATACATTTTGATCAATTAAATGTATCCTTGCTAAATAAAAATATAAATTTCTTCCAAAAGAAATTAATCTTGCTGACCCCAAACTTTTAAACAATTTGTGTTTAATAACATGTTGTGGTGAAAATGACAATGATGGAAATTACATTTTAGGAATATTTTTTGTGTCTTAAATCCAGACAATTAAACCAAAGACAACCATTCAAAAGTTTGGGGTTGACCTTTTTTTTATGTTTTCAACATGAATACATTTTGCTCAATTAAATGTATCCTTGCTAAATAAAAATATAAATTTCTTCCAAAAGAAATTAATCTTGCTGACCCCAAACTTTTAAACAATGTGTATGTGTATGTGTATTTTCACACTTTCGGCATAATTTGACAAGTTACAGCTTCAATGGAGATGATGCACAATAAAAATGTTTTCTTTGTTTTCTTTATATGTCATGTGTTTCATATTTCATCTCAAACTCTTCACTGACTGTATGATCTCTTGGTAGCCAAGTACACATTTTTTGGAAAACTTGTAAATGATGCCACAAAAATGTGGGACGACTGTATTGTCGTAAAAGTATTGAAAATGCTATTATTAGTTGTTGTGTTTCTCGCAATAAATAATATAATGGTTTCACTCAATCATAGTTTTTACTGGTTATAATTCTGAATTCATAAAACTGGATTTTCACATTTCAAGATTGAAAATCTGGGTTTGGGGTAAAACAATCAAATCTTCAAAAGGTTTTTAGTGGCCATCATATACTGTAACAAAAAGAAAATAAATTAAATTGGTTAGTTTAAAAAAAAAACTGCCAATAGGACAAAAAATTGCCTGAAGTAAAAAAAAATAATAAAAAATTTATTATGAGAAAGTTTCTCATTATTACGAGATACTAAGTCATTATTATGAGAAAATAAGTCATTATTTCGAGAAACTAAGTCATAATTTTGAGAAAGTTTCTCATTATTATGACTTACAGAATTATATTTTTTTATTTAGTGGGGGAAACGGGCTTCCATAATTAACACTGTTTTCAAATGATAAAAAAATTATAATAATAATCCAACAAAAGGACAGAAAAATTCAGAAAGCTCTTTGAAGAACATCCTACATTAATGTATTATTGTTTTGTAGCTGTTCACACATTAAGATCTATATTAACCAGTTTTACTGAAGTCAAAGATATTATTTTATTTATCTGCATGAGGTTACAGATACTAAAGTAGTTGCATAGGAAAATCAGATAGAAATGTGTCCTTAAATATACAGTTGCACATTTTTACTTTGTACATTGTATTGTACAGTATTTTGATGCATGTGTATGTCTTTCAGGTGATTAAAGCTATAGATGAGGGTTACAGGCTGCCTGCTCCAATGGACTGTCCCGTAGTCCTCCACCAGCTGATGTTGGACTGCTGGGAGAAGAGCAGAAGCGAACGGCCCAGATTCAGGCAGATCGTGAACACTCTTGACAAACTGATCCGCAACCCCAACAGTCTGAAAGAGCTCGCCAACAGCTCAGTCTGGTGAGAACCTCATATGAACCCTCACTTCATTCAAATCCAGCTGATATTTGTGCATACGTAAGCTTTTCACACTGTTTTCAACCCTGCATTAAGGCCACTTTTTGACACTGGATTAGGTAATGCTCACACTGCAATAAATCATTTTAAATCCTGTTTTCCTGTACAAATATCTGAACATTCTTGAAACGAGATAAATTAAATAATTAGTGGGGTTAATAAAGTTAATATACACTACCATTCAAACATTTGTTGTCAGTACAATTTTTATTTATTTATTTAAATTCTTTTTTGAAAGAAATTAATACTTTTGTTCAGCAAGGATGCATTAATTTGATCAAAAGTGACAGTAAAGACATTTATAATGTTGCAAAAGATTTCTATTTTAGACAAATTCTGTTCTTCTGAACTTTCTATTCTGAAAAAAAGGTATAATGTTTCAACAAAAAATATTAAGCAGTACTGTTTTCAACATTGATGATTTCTTGAGCAGCAAATCAGCATATTATAATGATTTCTATATGATCATGTGACTCTGAAAACTGGAGTAATGATGCTGAAAATTCTACTTTGCCATCATAGGAATAAATAACATTTTAAGTAAAATGAAAAAAAGTTATTTTAAATTGTAATAATGTTTCACAATATTACTGTTTTTGCTGTATTTTTGATCAAATGAATGCAGTCTTGGTGAGCAAAAAACAATAAAAATCTTACAGACTTTAGAATGGTAGTGTATGTAAACATCCTTAAAACAAGATAAATTAAAGATAAGTTAATATACATTTACTAGTGAAGAAAAAATTACATTAAATATTAAGGCTCATTTTCAGGGAATGTCTCATTATTATTTATTTTTCTTACCCCATTGGCAATTTATTCTTGTTTTAAACCTACACTTCACTATATGTTAGATATATTCTGAAAAGTACCAATGGGACCAAAAAAACACATTATTATTTAAATTAATTCAAGTGTCTGAGGGAGGTTATTTTGAATAGTGATGGCAAACATGTTGAATTGTTGAAAAGACACTCAAACAGGTCACACGCTCTTTGCTAAATATGCAAATTTGAAAACTACCCCAAGGGTTTCCTCATGTACAGTGTGTACAAATAGCATGATTAGTGTAAAACACGGATCAGGATAACCCAAGATTGTTAACTCGGGGTTAACAATTTCAAGTGTGAAATGCCTGATAAAGTGACAGAAACATGAAACACGAAGGACAACACCAGTTTAAACCAACTGTCTCTTGTACAGATAAAACATTTAAAAGCCACAAAAACAAATCCCTAACAGCTCAAATAAATCCAGAGAAAATCCAATCCAGATTTTCTGTGTCTGCCCCATGAACTCTCAAATCGTTCGTTTTATGTGAAACAACGGGCAGATAAACTCCATATTGTCTAATATAACCAAACCTAGTGTCACTGATCCTTTTCAACAGACATCCATCTGGCTGCTTTGTAAAAAGACATACACTCTTAAAAATAAAGGTTCTTCACGATGCCATAGAAGAACCTTTTTATCAAAATGGTTCCATAAAGAACCTTTAATATCTGAAGAACCTTTCTGTTTCACAAAAGGTTCTTTGTGGCGAAAGAAGGTTCTTCAGATTACAAAGAGGTAAGAAAGAGATGGTTCTTTAAAGAACCTTTGACTGAATGGTTCTTTGTGGAACCCAAAATGGTTCTTCTATGGCATCGCTTGAAGAACCTTTTGAAGCACCTTTATTTTTAAGAGTGTAGTTGTATAGATAGCTTGAACCCTGCCATGAGACAGAGCGCAGACTCTCCCTCCACCTGCGGTTTATCAGGAGCGCTGGAGACGGAGAGGCCGAGTTCACATTACAGCCGTAAAGCCAGTGACTCAGAGCCCTTCATGAGATATACGCTTCCTCAAGCCTATCACAGTCTCTCTGATTACAGCCCAACCTGCCAGTCATTTTATTCCTCTGTGTCCAAAGAGGACAAAGAACGAGGGTGTTAAATACATCCCAGATCTGAGATTGAATTGACCCCCGGTTTTCACTCAAACGTTGCTGTCACTCAGCAATGTGAACCTAACCCGTCTGTCATGAAGAACGGAAAGGCAACACAATAGGTTTCAGGGCTCGCAGCATTTCAAAATCCCTGGTAGCCCTTCGGGCAGGTACTCTTCAAATTTTGGTTGCCCGAAAATTTATTTAACTAGCCCAAATAAAAAATACCTTTTTTTTTTAAATATAGAAAATCAGATAGGAGTTTAAATGTCAATCAAAAATATTTTCAATACACAAATATGAAGGAAGGAATTTTATTTCACTATTTACAGGGTATCTGCAGAATTTTTAAAAATAAATTTAAGGAAATTTATGACCCATTTTAAGAGCTGCACAAGTAAAATGAACACAGTATGAGTGGGGTTGGATAATGTCTATGGTAACATACAGTATTGAGCCATAAAATTACATGATTTACAGATCAGATACAGGTTTTCACAAAAACAAAATTCTTATACAACAGCATTTCAGCCTTTAGACCACTTTTATGAAAAGGGATAAATCAAGTATATAAATTATTGTCAATTTAAATCGTATAAATATTACTGTCTTAATTGTTTAGATTTTTAGAAGGCACATTAACTTTTTTCTCATTTACACAATGTGTTTGCTGCGTAAAAACATGAGCTGATATTTGCATTGATCTGACCATAAACAGCAAGAAAGGCTTATTGTAAATGCAAATTCATTCTCTGCCACGAGGTGACGGTTTAGGACCGCTGAAATATTGCGGTTTTCCCGGTAACGGCTGTACACGAAGCAGCTCTGCGCTCATAAACACTGCTTTATTCAGGAATTATAGATAAAATGAAATTAAAATGCCAACGACACGTTTCTGAGGACAGTCGGTTCCCTTCATATACATTCCTATAAAGACATCCGCGCCGCGTTTTGACTTGAAACGTGCAGCGCTCATATTTATTCAATGACATCATTGCCTTTTGAAGTTTAATCCAGCCGTATCGCGACTCTTGTCTTTCCGTCCCCAACTGTAAGACATCTTGAAATTATAATTAAGACATTTCTTATACCATTTAACGTATTTAAAACTTTTTATGGCCTTAAGTTTGATACAACTCACTTTAGGAGTATTTAAGGACCCGTGGGAGATTTAAGATAGCCCATGGGGCAGAGTGATACATTTTGGTAGCCCGACTGGAAAACACATGTCGGGCTAGCGATTTTGCGAGCCCTGGGGTTTAAGCTCAACTGCAACTTCTTAACTTTTATCCTCTCCTCATTAAATTGCTTAAGCTATCGACTCTCAGAAGAAACTGCTATCCTCATAAAATGAGAAACAAGTGACAGTTTGATTAGATATTTCTTAACTGTTGGCCTGAAGCCGTAGCCTTAATACTATATCTAACTGTAAAGGCAATTTATAATGCAAGACCAGCTTTCCAGCTCTGTTCTCAATGTTTTAGCAATGAACCAAACTGCAATTGATACAAATTCAATTTCCTTTCCAGGGAAGACCCCACCACCCCAGAGTTCAATGTGAGTACGGTGGATGAATGGCTGGACGCCATCAATATGGGCCAATATAAAGACAACTTCGCCAGCGCGGGCTACGTTTCTCTAGATTCCATACTGTACATCAGCTTGTGGTAAGTTTGTTTACCTATATAAATATACAGTATTGAGCCATAAAATTACATGATTTACAGATCAGATACAGGTTTTCACAAAAACAAAATTCTTATACAACAGCATTTCAGCCTTTAGACCACTTTTATGAAAAGGGATAAATCAAGTATATAAATTATTGTCAATTTAAATCGTATAAATATTACTGTCTTAATTGTTTAGATTTTTAGAAGGCACATTAACTTTTTTCTCATTTACACAATGTGTTTGCTGCGTAAAAACATGAGCTGATATTTGCATTGATCTGACCATAAACAGCAAGAAAGGCTTATTGTAAATGCAAATTCATTCTCTGCCACGAGGTGACGGTTTAGGACCGCTGAAATATTGCGGTTTTCCCGGTAACGGCTGTACACGAAGCAGCTCTGCGCTCATAAACACTGCTTTATTCAGGAATTATAGATAAAATGAAATTAAAATGCCAACGACACGTTTCTGAGGACAGTCGGTTCCCTTCATATACATTCCTATAAAGACATCCGCGCCGCGTTTTGACTTGAAACGTGCAGCGCTCATATTTATTCAATGACATCATTGCCTTTTGAAGTTTAATCCAGCCGTATCGCGACTCTTGTCTTTCCGTCCCCAACTGTAAGACATCTTGAAATTATAATTAAGACATTTCTTATACCATTTAACGTATTTAAAACTTTTTATGGCCTTAAGTTTGATACAACTCACTTTAGGAGTATTTAAGGACCCGTGGGAGATTTAAGATAGCCCATGGGGCAGAGTGATACATTTTGGTAGCCCGACTGGAAAACACATGTCGGGCTAGCGATTTTGCGAGCCCTGGGGTTTAAGCTCAACTGCAACTTCTTAACTTTTATCCTCTCCTCATTAAATTGCTTAAGCTATCGACTCTCAGAAGAAACTGCTATCCTCATAAAATGAGAAACAAGTGACAGTTTGATTAGATATTTCTTAACTGTTGGCCTGAAGCCGTAGCCTTAATACTATATCTAACTGTAAAGGCAATTTATAATGCAAGACCAGCTTTCCAGCTCTGTTCTCAATGTTTTAGCAATGAACCAAACTGCAATTGATACAAATTCAATTTCCTTTCCAGGGAAGACCCCACCACCCCAGAGTTCAATGTGAGTACGGTGGATGAATGGCTGGACGCCATCAATATGGGCCAATATAAAGACAACTTCGCCAGCGCGGGCTACGTTTCTCTAGATTCCATACTGTACATCAGCTTGTGGTAAGTTTGTTTACCTATATAAATACATTTACTGTATACCACCCTAGTGTATGTGCAGTGCAGAGGTGTAAAGTATTGGAGTAAATGTAATTAGTTACTGTACTTGAGTATATACTTGAGTATCAAAGATATTAGCAACTTTTACTCTTTACTTCACTACATTTTTGAATGAGTATCTGTACTTTTTACTCCACTACATTTGAAATGAGTGTTGCAGTTACACATTATATTTTGCATGGACCTATCTTTTTCTGCAGCAGTTTATTTCTGCTAGAAAAGACGTGATACTGCCTATTACAGGTCACTGAAAGTACAGCATCTTTTGCGTTTTGCCTCAACCAAACTTTTCAACAAGGCTACTTTATGTGAATGCGAGTTCCTTAGCACGTATCTGTGAATCAGAGGTGTTTTATATATGAGATGAGGACATGACTGCAGCCGGCAATGTGGCCCAAACCAGCACATCCACTGCAAGAAGGCTTTGGCTTTTTAATTTTACTTAACATTATTTTATTTATCCATTATACTGAAGAGACTTTTTTGAAAGATATTGTTTTTTTGTTTGTTTATTTTGTTTTGTAATTTTGAGGTTTTTAGTTTTATTTTGGTTTTAGAAAATAAATGTGATTGCTCTCCTCACAAATCAACTCTTTCTTGTTTTTGTTTCATGGTCTCTGTGCCTTGCCCTGGACTTTTATGTCACTCCCTGTCTCCTGTGGTGTTTGTAGTCAGTTTGTAGTCCGTTTGTTCATTGGTTCCCTTGATTAGTCTCCCCAGGTGTGTGTATATATAGCCCTAATTTTTCTTTAGCTTCTTGTGAGTTGTTGAATAAAATTGTTGTCTGTTTGCCAGACATTCTGTTTTTTGTTCCCTTTGGTTTTTGCCTTATTGTTTGTTCTAGTTTTTCCATGAAATACCAGCACATTGCCTCTGCCTGTTTTCTGCAGCTTCTCCACAACGTTACAGTTTTTCACTTGCATGTCTCTTTGACTAGTGCATCTTTGAGCCTATATTTAGTCTAAGTAAAATATTTAAGTACTGTTAAAATCAGAAACTCTAAGACTTTTACTCAAGTTGTTTTGGAGTTGGTGACTTGTAACGTGTAGTGGAGTGATTTTCACTGTAAGGTATCTGTACTTTTACTGAAGTATGGTTTTTAGGTACTCTTTATTGGTGCAGTGTAATATAATGAGCACACTTACACATGCACATTTTGGCTTGTAGACTATTTTATTTTACCTTTCAAAAGTTTGAGGTCAGTAAGATTTTTTTTAATGCTAGTACTTTAATTATTATTTTATAATGTATTTTATTTCAAATAAATATATAGTTTAGTCATGAAACTCTAGATGGTGCAGGTTGATGTTTTGTTAACCTAACTGATGATATTCAGAGAGTTAAACGACTTGGCACAAGCTGATTGGTTCATGCTGCATATGCAGCCAATGAGCTTACTGCCTTGCATTTATATGGCTGGCTAGCATTCACTAGAGATTCCTGCAGCGCGCTTTCATAGTTTCTCTGAAACCCTCCACCTTCCCCAGCTCCACCTGTATAGATCTGCTATGGGTTATTTTATAGGTTATTTGTGCAGCAGCAGTATGCCTTAAATACTCACGGCACCGTATTGCCTTATGCATTGGCAGTAGCAAGTTCCTGTTCTTGCTTGCAGCAGCAGCAATAATCTACAACTACAGCAATAATCAACAGCAGCAGCGTAGAAGATCTATTCCGCCAAGATCAAATACATTAACATTATCATATCCATCATCATGCTAAAATCTTCAGAGAGTTGTCATGATTAAAATGCTGTTCTTCTGAACTTTCTATTCATCACAGAATCTTAAAAAAAAGTATCACGGTTTAAAAAATATTAAACAGCACAACTGATTTCACTGATTTAGCTTTGCCAACACAGGAATAAATTACATTTATTGAAATAGAAAACATGTATTTTAAATTGTACTAATATTTCACAATAGTACTGCTTTTACTGTGTTTGAGCAAATAAATGCAGCCTTGGTGAGAAAAAGAGTTTATAATGTTCAAAAACATGAAAAATGTTACTGACCCCAAACGTTTGAATGGTAGTGTATTGTTTTGTTTTAGTTTTTTTCACTTTACTAAGGTTTCCTGGTTTACTTTAACACACTGTTCTAACCAGTATAGACAGGATAAAGTGATAAATGCTATGTCTAGGATTTCTCTGTTATTCAAATAAAAATGTGTGTGTTGCAGTAAGTGTCATGCAAAAAGGTTGCTTGGTTTGTATTTTTATAACGTAGTGCTCGGTAGCTCCGCCCACACCAAAAAGATCTCTTCAGTTCTAAAATCATGCTCCACGTTGCAGTATATTAAACATCAAATCTGATTACTGTACTATTTTACTTTCAGTAAGGTCAAAACAATTAGTTCATTTCCTGAACATTTTTTTTCTATCCCTCCTTCCTCAGTGAGTTAAGCAAGATGAGCGTGACTCTGGTTGGGCACCAAAAGAAGATTGTCTCAGCCGTCCAGAGTTTGCATGCACAAGGGACTCATGTGCAAATATAACAAGCCTTCTCCACTGCCTGAGAGCGTACAGACTGAGAGTTACCAACTGCTCCCACCACACTCCCTATAAGCAGCTTCACCGTACAGTTCCCACCCTGGATGTTTCCACATACAACCCTTTTGTCAGCGCTCTGGTTTCCGTCCATGCACGTCCGAGCTTCCTACAGGCAGAGGGACACACTGAGACTGATCTACAATCGCTTGACAAGGCCACGGCAAATCAGATATGAAGTATGGTTATTAAACACAAAAAGGGAACAATAATACATTAGGGAGAATTCCCAGCTTGTGTTTTACAGTTTCAACATTTTGCATTTCATATTTGACGTTTTGCATATCAGAGGTTGGACTGTTATTCTTAAAAGGAGGGTTGTTGTTTCT